GTGTGTGTGTGTGTGTGTGTGTGTGTGTGTGTGTGTGTGTGTGTGTATAGCACATTAATGATAGCTTTAGGTCAAAATACTCCACATGAAATTTGTTCTCATTCACACTGCTGTCTTTATGTCTTAAAATGAATTGGAATTAGTAAGGTTGTGACTTAAGTAGGAAAGTATGCATTTCTGAAAACGGTGTTGGTGCATGAGCATTGGGGAAGAAAGGCAGGCACTAAGCTACCTAGCAAACAAATCCTGAGCAAGATTACATGAAGTATTCCATACTCACTGTGTTATAGAGATCTTCCAGCCGAGGGATGGTGAGGAAGCGATGGAGGTTCACCCCATTCTCTATCAAGAGTTTCACAAAGTCCACTCGATCCATCACTAAGGCATCTAACATTGCTTGTTCCAGAGTGCCAGGCTTCAGGAGGTACAAAGAAGGAAAAGGTATGAAAACAACATAAGAAAAATAAGAGTAGCTCTATATAGATATCATCATTATAAAATACAAACTTCTTAAGAAATGTTCAGGGCCTAACTGGAGACATAGTCAAGAATGATTCATGTTCTTATATGAGAAAAAAGCAAACACTGTAACACCCTCAATTCTCCCAATATGATGGTGAATCTTAAAGGCAATTATAATGAAAATGTAAGTTTTTCTGGGTTTGTTTTTAGCTTGGAGATGGAAGTAAATGTTCACTAATTCATTTGACTATTGGTATTTTTTTTAATAATTTTTTGGTTTCAAATTTGTTGTTTGTTTTTTTGGGGTACCATTATTCTTCCATTTAAACTTTACCTGGATGGGGGTATAAATGATATATTGGACATTTTTATTTAATTTTCCCCTATCAAAAATTCTACTAAAACTATAGCAGAGGAATTTATTTGAACAAATCGATTCATAAGTACTAGGGGGACAGGGAATTGGAGAAAATGAGAAGAGCAATGTGGTATGTGGAAAGCAGTTGGTCAAGTGGTGGTTGGCTCAACAGTCCACCCAAAGCCAAACAGTTGAAATAGAAAGCTTCAAAAACCACACAGCATATAACAGCAACACCACAGTGAAGTCAATGTACACATGCTCAGTCTAATGTTGGTGCCACAGTTGAACTTTTAGTAGAAACTATCCAGGAAAACTAATACAGTGTGCTCACTGAATAAGACATACAAAAGAAATCAGCTGGGGAAGTAACTCTGTGTGTGAGTAATGGATGTGGACAAAGCCCTGGATTCAATTCTCAGAAATAAAACAACAACAACAACACACATGTTTTCTTGAAGAACAATTCAGAACTTGGAAAGCCATGAGGACAGAATTCAACTTTAGCCTTAGACAGCCTAAGCACCTTTTTCAAATTCTAATGGAGTGCATGATACACAAGGATTTTAAGTATGATGAGTTAATGACTTAAGAAAAGGCTCACTTTTTACCACGAGCAGAGAGGCTTGCACCTTCTAGCTGATTCAGACATTCATTTCCTTCCTAGAACCATCACCAATGCAAGAGAAGACATGAATGTGTTCACATTGAGGAGAGTCTACAAACAGCACCAGATGACCTTTTGCTGAAGTTCAAACTCACAGGGCAAAACATCCCCCGTCTGTCTTTACCCTTGAATAAGATGTTCAACACAAATGGATCAAGAAGTTAAGAGGAACCAAATAATTCAGGAAGAATGGCTCCAAAGGACTATTAGGCATAGTTTCAGCAGAAAGAATAAGATCTATTCCTGTGCAATTGAACACAGAGAGACGAATGTCCACTCAGCAATCAAATGTGCTTTTAGGAATTTGTAGACTAACCCTATGCTACCAGAAAAGTAAGGCTTCACTGAGTTGAGAAAACCTAGCAAACACAGACACAAGAAAAGCAAGAGGTACAATGAGCAGCAACTGATAAAATACTCAGAAAACGGGAATTTGGGAAAAGCAAAGGAAACATGGGAACAGAACTGTGAATGCAAGTTCAAATAATGTGCATAACAAATCTGTAGATATTCTGAATGGGAATGGCTCCCACAGGCTCATATAACTGAATGGTTGGTCTCTAGTTGGTAGACCTGTTTGGGAAGGACTAAGAGGTGTGGCCTTGTTGGAAGAAATGTGTCACTACGGGCAAGCTTTGAGATCCAAAAGATTTGCACTGTTCCAATGTGTCTCTCTACCTCCTGCTTGTGGTTTTGACATGTGACCTCTCAGTTGTTCCGTCTATCATGCTTTTATTCCACCATTATAGACTCTGACCCTCTGAAACCTTAAGTGCAATTAAATGCTTTCTTTACAGGTTGCCTTGCACATAATACTTGCTCTTATCACAGCAATTGAAAAGTAACTAAGACAAGACCTAACACACAGCATTTGTAAAAGCTCAGAACCTTGGAGAAAGAAAATCTTTTAAAACTTCCAGGGAAGATAAAAAAAAATGATCACAAAGGGCCTAAAGACAGAATTATGTTCATTTTTTCAACTCGAATGCTAGGCATTCAACATTCTGCAGGGGGGAAAAAAGTAGTTCTAGGACCAACAAGATGGCTGACCAAGCAAAATCATTCACCCTGAAAGCATGGCACCCTGAGATGGATCCTTAGAACCTATGTTAATGTATAAGAAGAGAACTGACTCCACAAAACTGTCCTCTCATCTCCACTTGTATGTCATGGCATGTGCACACTCACACATACACACACCCTTACCACCACCACCACCACCACCACCAAGAACAACACAACCTCCATCACAATCAACAAAATAATAATAATAACAAAAATAAAAAATAGCTCTAATCATGAATATAGTCATATGTTAAGTCCTCTGGAGATTTATCTCCCATGCTCTTTTTCAGGAGGTTGCTAATTCATGCCATCATTACCAAAAGAGTACAAAGCTAGAAAAGAAATTTTGAGAAATAGTAAACATAGCAGAGTGGAAAGAAGACCCCATGCTTGTGAGGGAAATCCCAGAATAACACAACCAAGCACCAAAACCAGAAGACAGCCTTAGATACTACAGGGTGAGCCTCACAAGGCAAAAAGGTCAAGATGTTTGTAAGACTGGTAAATCAGAAGGTACTATGTGATAAAATTTAGAATTTAGAAAGTTACAAGTATCAGAACAGTCAAAAATGTCAAGTGTAAGGGCAGCAGAAAATCAAAATTTTCATAGTCTTGTAACCTTATTTGATATTTTAAGCCATGTGCATGTGTTAGCTTGAATGAAACACAATTGAAGTATAGTCACAACTTAAATTTTTAGTAAAATATTAATTGGCATTACCACTGATATTGAACACATTTTCCTGCTTTTCATTGATTTCTGTTACTGATAGCCGAGGGTAGCAACATGCTGGCTGCATGGTAACAGTAAAAATGATCTCAAGCCAGAGGAGACCAGCTGCTCACTCCAGCAAAAGGCTGCTGGCTTTGACTGATTCTTTTAGGGGAGTGATCTAAGATTTGGTGATTATCCATTAGTCAAAAGCACAATTTCAAACAATATTCCTCTTATGCACAAGCATCCTTGTCTTATACTTGGTGAAGTAAGAAATGTTCAGCTCCATTCCAGAGCTTCAGAGTGCTATCTGTCCTTTCTTGCACAAAATCCTTGGCCTTGTTGCAGGGATGAAGGACTGTCGGTGTTTGATTTGAAGAGAACCCATAAGTAGAAGAAACAGAGACCCACCCCAGCTGGCAGTGGTCAAGTTAACCCATCATTATACTCTTGAACAAACCATTTTTTCAAATGATTTACATGCAGATCAGTGTGACTGAAAACTGATTGGGAAACGGACAGACAATATGAAGACAAAGATGCAAAGTCCTGTCTCCCACTTTTGTCATCGATCAGGTAACTGTAGGCTCTCAAGCAGAGCCTGTATTTTTAGCTAAAGTGTCTATGACTTATCCTGGACAACTGTTATCATAGCCTACATGTCAACAGTGTGACGTGTAGCAGAATGGTCTTCACTTTCACGGGATGCTGACCTTTGAGGCGACCTACAAGTCTTTCCAAGGACAATGGGTGGAAGAAGATTTTTCCTTGGCAATAATTATTCCCTTCATCTTTATTTGCCACTTGTATAGTCAATTCAGACCACACCAGTCTTTACCTTGGTTTAGTTACAAGGGATTCCTGGAGACATTTTAGCCTTGTGATCTAGTCTGTCCTTTTACAGCATCGCTAATGACAGAGTGTAAAGAAGAGTAAGGTAAGGACAGAGACAAAAGGAAACACACACAGTGTTTTCAGTGGGTTAAGAGGCTAAGGGCTGAAAATGTATTTGGTTTTAGTCTTCTTGTGGTAGCCCTCTATATGTTTCACTATAAATACTGCATTTTTTGTAAAAATAAAAAAAAACACTATTTAAGTTCTAAATAATTAAAGCAAAATCATATTCATTTAAAAAAAACAAATTTAAAATCTTTCCAGTATTTTGATCTTTTAACTTCCTATTTTAGCCTTCATGAAGTCAGGGAAATTTTGTTTTCAGGGAAACAAACCAAGAATGAGGCATGCCTTTGCTTCCTTGGGTGCCTAGACATCAAAATGATAACCACTTCTCCTCCAATTTTGTCTTTATTCCCCTCCCCCCAACAAACCCATATGCAAAATACATTTTTCAAGTAATGTCATTTTCATTATACCTTCCAATGTTGTCCATAAATTAGGATATGTTTCTTGGCAATGTCCATTCTATCCCAAGCCATTGCCAGATTTAATTGTTCTGATATTGATAAGTTTGTACCTAAGGGGAAAGAAAGGAATAATAATATATTCTATTCAAAAATATCTAGGTGAAAACACAGAAACTTCTAGAACATGAGACCAGGAAGTGAGGTGGAACTGGTAGATATGCTAAGTCACTCACCCTTCAGTAAAGCCGTAAGGATGGCCAAATCAAGATCTTGGTGCTCCTCAGAATCAGCATCAAATATGGTAATCTGTGATGGGTGAAAATCAGAAAGCCAAACAGTTTAGAATCTACCTTAGAAATGCCTTCAAACAGTACCATAAGATCAGCATTTAAGCCACAGGAAAAAATATTCCTTGCTTTGCCATTTCAAAACACTGTGGCTCTATTTTTACTTCATAGAAAAAAACTGTTTCAAATAAGGTGATAAAAACTAGAGGCACCTTGGAAAAAAACCAATAAACTTTTAAAATTCCATGTGGAGTGGAGCTTACTACTCCCCTGCCTCAGGGAGGGAGCCTCTGTGTTAACTCCCAATACAAATCAACTCATTCCTCCTCCAGAATGACAAACACATGGTCACTTAAACTTAGAGCTAAGACCTTTACTTCATAGTGATCAGTGAATCCTCAAATATCCACCCTAAACTCAGTATGATGATCATGGACCCCAGGGATGGTGCAAGGAACTGCAGTCTTCCCAGTATCCAAGTGCCCAAAACATCCTAGTGTGTGAACAATTTTGAAAATAAATCAGCATATGTGTTGTGAGACTTTCAGTAAAGTAGGATGTTTTTGTGCTTCTTGTTTCTCCAACCCCCACTCCCTGCCCCTCTTGCACTCCACTTTGTACCCTCCCCTCAGATTGTTTCCCTCTCTATGTCCTATGTGTCCTTTTGTCTGTGCACACATTTCCTTCAGTATCATCCTTTTTTTTGTCACCTTTCTAAACTTTACCTACATTTGTACCTATTTACATACATACTACACATTTCCAAATGAAAATATATTTCATGTAATACAGGAAGCTACACTGACAGAAAAAAAAAGTTAGGAATGGCAAGTATTATATATGTATTATATACATATTATATACATACATACATACATACATACATACATACATACTACACATTATATCCTTTTTAGCAGCATGCTACTGTGTGCATAAGCAAAATCAACCTTCAACCACCAACTGCACAGAGCTCACCTGCTGTGATGTGAGTACCCCAGTTTTCTTCTTTTGCCTCCCTTGATTTTTCTGCTCACTGCTCAGTAATTATATTCCACAATGACAGAAGAAGTGAGCACTATAAGATAAGGCCTGCCATGTCTTAACTGGATGAGTGAACAAATCACATAAATTGTCTAGCCTTCAGCTGCATAATTTCAAAAATGGAATTGAGCAACCATTGCTATCTTGAACTCAGTCCTGGGGCTATTTCAGATGAAAGAGTAGATTTAAAAGCATGTGGCTATTATAAACAGGGTGGTGGTCAGTGAAGATGCCAAAGGGTTTTTCGTGTGCGTTCTTGCCAGGCTTAAACTTGTCCCATTGGTTTTGTAAGGTCAGAAGCTTCCACACCAACACAATCTCTTTATGATTTTGCTAAGCCTCCCATTTCTGGAGAGATTGCTACAAATGACAATATATCTGCATTTTACTCTAATTTTCTATTTCCCATCATCCTAGTAGTCATCAACACAAATTTTGGAATCAATTCCCTGAAACATAAAGCAGTTCTCCCGAGTCTTCATTATAGTCATAGCCTTTTTTTGCCTTGCATTTTGCTGTGCTGTGCTGTGCTGTGCTGTGCTGTGCTGTGCTGTGCTGTGGTGTGCTGTGCTTTGATTTGCTTTGCTTTGCTTTGGAGGCAGGGTCTCATTATGTGGCTCTGTCTAGCCTGGAACTCACCACATAAACCAGGATGGCTTCGAACTCACAAAGATCAACAGTCTGTTCCATTCCCTCCTCTGCCCCTGCCCCTGCCCCTGCCCCTGCCCCTGCCCCTGACCCTGACCCTGACCCTGACCCTGACCCTGACCCTGCTTCCTCTGCCTCTGCCTCTGCCTCTGCATGTGCTGGAATTATAGGTGTATGCCACCATACTCAGCTGAACTACATTTGCTATTGCACACGTGATTCTCAAATTTGCCCGTGCCTAATGTACATACGGCACCCACCTGCAAGTCTCACTCAAGATGCTATAATGTTGTCATCTAACAGCAGATGAGTTCAATAAATCCCTGGAGCTGCTCTTTCAGCCCTTGCAAGTATTTATGTTTGGTAACTCTTCTGTGATACTGTTTTTCTAAGTGCTTTGTCCCAGATAGACTCTGACATTTAAAGCACGAAGGGCAAGAGTGAAGGTGGAGCAACAGGAAGCCAAGTTTACAAAACTCAAGAGTCAAATTCTACAGAATTATAGTCATCAAAGTTCAAAATAGGTATTCCACATATTTTTTTTTAATGTGAAAACAAATGGTTGATTTCTGGAAGGTGGTCTTTTTAAAAAATCATCAACTCATCATACTTACAGAATCCTTGTGTACCATGCACTCCATTAGAATTTGGAAAAGGTGCTTAGATTGTCTAAGGCTAAAGTTGAACGTGTTCTGAATCAAACAGAAGATCTCTTCTTTCACCTGAGGGCGTAGAATCCTGGCAGAGAAATAAATGGGCATAACTTGACGCAACCCAAAGAAGAGACCAAGCCAACAGTACTGGTGCAAGAAACTCCCTCTGGGCACCCTACTGAGAAGGCTGATCTCAAGACAGCCCATGAGCAAGAAGCAAATGAACGGCAGGGACAGAGGGGTGCAGAAAAGAACAAATTCTAATGTGAGGGGTATGTATCTACCAGGCCCCACTGGAACAATATACTCTAAGGTAGTATTCTCAAACTGATCAGATTTTAAAAGGCAGTGAGTTTTCATAGCTTGGGGATAATAATCTCAAACAGTCTGAACCCTTAACACGGTGGTCCATTGTTCAGCTAAGAAGATTGCAACTCTCCTAGTTACAGGTAGGAGTCTGGTGCACAAGCCTAGTCACTGATAGAGGTGTGATTGTCTCGGCCTGTGCTGTGACAGTATCTAGCCCAGGAAAATGCGCAGATTCAAAATCCAAAAGGGAAGAATGAACAGTCACAGTGTTTTCAAAGTGGAAGGCTCAACAACTCACCCTCCATCCTCCAAATGCTTGTAGGTGAAGGCCAAGAGATCAGCAGCTCTGCCCGTTCCCTCGCACACCACCACAGGCTCCTTGTTCTTGACAGTCTCCCATACCCAGAGGATGACATTGGGGCCTCCTTCCATCACCAGCCCTATCACAGGCACACCTTGTCTTGAGCCTGTTTCAGGTGGCAAATAGTACCACACTGTTACAAAGCTGTCCTGTCTCTGTCAGCCAGCCACCTTGAACTCTACACTTAAACCCTTCAACTGCTGCTGTGTCTTCCTGCTTGATCAGATCAACACCAAATCAGAAACTAGGACTTCAGATAAAATGTAACAGATATGCTAAGGGTATCTTCAAACTTCTTCTGGGTAAAAGATCAATTAAAGGTTTCAATTACTGGGCGGTGGTGGCGCACGCCTTTAATCCCAGCACTTGGGAGGCAGAGGCAGGCGGGTTTCTGAGTTCGAGGCCAACCTGGTCTACAGAGTGAGTTCCAGGACAGCCAAGGCTGCACAAAGAAACCCTGTCTGGAAAAACCAAAAAAAAAAAAAAAAAAAGCTTTCAATAACTTTTCCAAGAGGCCTTAAAACTTTTTAATGTTTCATTGTTACAAATTCTAAAGAATTTCAAAGTAAGCGGAACCATATAATAGATACCAGTGTCTCTGCCACTCATCAAATCAGCCAGGCTTTGTCAGCTCAGTAACTTTTAATGGTGGCAAGGGCAACCTTCAATGTCTTTTCTGTTTCAGCATGTTATATCTTTCAGTGTTTGAATTTCTTATCATGATTAGATATTACCTTATCAAAGTAAAAAGACAAAAAAAAAGCTGCTGTGGCAACTATGGAGAATACTTTTATAAAAGCTACTAAATGAAAAACTTGTAAAAATGACATTTGTAATATATTCTATTTGTATTTTCAAAGCCCCATGTATAAGTACGTATTTTCTATACATGTATACTACTACCTATATCAATAGCATGTTCTATAAGTGGACAGAAGAATATACAATAAACCATTAACAGTAAAGAAGGTGACAATTTAGGGAAATATTAAAAACTGTCTTTTTGGTATTTTGAAACAAGTTTTAACTTCATAGCTAAGGTTGACCTTTAACTCATAATCCATTAACCTGCCATGCTCAGCTTGACTTTAATCATCTTACTTATTTAAATTTTAACATTATTCATTAATCAGTATGTCACTTTTAAATTTATATATTTGATTTTGCATTTCAACAAAGAAAAATTGGTGGACAATGTTTATATTCATCTGAGCAACAGAGAACTTTACTTTGGGTAATGTGTTTTCAGGGCTATGCTGTGGCCTTCCTCTTGCTATCCCCTGCCCTCAGAAGTAGGGCATTGTGTCAACTTGAATGAAAATGTCCCCTATAGGCTCATAGGGGTGGCACTATTAGGATATGTGACCTTGTGGAGTAAATGTGGTCTTGGAGGAGGAACTGTGTCACTGGGGGTGGGCTTTTAGGTTTCATATGCTCAAGTTAGGCCCAGTGTCTCACTCTCTCTTCCTGCAGTCTGCTGATCTATATGTAAAACTCTCAACTATGTCCCCAGCACCATGTCTGCCTGTTGCTGCCATGTTTTCTTCCAAGATGATAATGAGCTAAACCTCTGAAGCTATAAGCCAGCCCCAATTAAACGTTTTCTTTTACAAGAGTTGCCGGGGTCATAGTATCTCTTCACAGCAACAAAACCCCCAACTGAGACAGGGATCTAAACAGGCTAACTTCCAGGAGAAGTCTGTGCTCACAACCCACTTCCTAAGGGTCATAATACGCCCAAGATCTTGGCTTCCAGGGACTGTGTGGGCCTCTGACCCAAGTACATCCTCTGCAAAACAAAAGGAAGATTTGAAAAGTAGAGAGGAGAAGGAAAGCTATTTGATCCCAACTTGAGTATCCAGAGGATGTCAAGGTGTGTAGCCCATCTGGAATTGTAAATTGAGCCAGAGACAGAAACAGAGTGAATAGGTTGAGGGGCCCACCTCTATCCCATGGTGATGCTCTGGCTCAGTATGCACAGAACCTAAGTGCTCTAAACATAAACTAGCCTAGCTTATACATCTCAAGGTCATGAGTAGAGTAAATCGGTGTACTGATTTGATTTCAAGCTTTTTAAATATGTCATAGCAGCGTGTGGGCATCATTGTACATCCTCGTCTTCACATTCCACAAATGTTATGATGAGCTGTTGCAGGTACTCACATACTGCATGCAATCTAATTAGCTGGTGTTATGATCTTCCATTCCTTTTCTATTCAATCCTACTTCATTATTATCTCCATTTAGAATGACATTGAGCATACAGTGAGCATACAACACATAAGAGTTAGGGTTCCTCTAACAATATCTCACAAAAGCTAAGGGAAATGGGTAAAATGATATATTATAGTACAAAAATAATAAAAATTTTAAAACATTATTAATCTTTAAATAATATAAGTATATAAGGGTTTTGAGGGCTACTGAAGACCCATTTCAGGGCTTTTCCACATGCAAGATTCAAGCATTGATCTACACCTCCAGCTGTAGAAGAAAAATTAAAGAGAATTTCTCATATCCTGTACAATAGCATGGGAATTAGATGTGTGTTAACTATGTCTATTGCCAAGAAAATATGTTACACTTGGTAAAGAGGGAAAGACTATCAAAAGAAGCATTGATATTAATTTTATGCCTATGAATGGTGTGTGTGTGCATTTGTGTGTGTGTCTCTCTGTCTTTGACTGTGTGTGTGTATGTGCACACACACGCGCATGTGTGCATGCAGAAAACTTCTAAAAGTTTATATGTGAAAATGTTAATGATTATTTTTATAACAACATTATAAAAATTCTATCTTTTTCTTTTAATGCAATCTCTGTGAGTGTTAAAGAATGCAATATTTTATCACCAAGGGGGAAAATCAATGAAGGCATTTTGGAGAAGAGAATTTTATTCCTGCTAGGAATAATTTGAGTCAATACAATAGCTAATTCTTTCAAAAATAACTACATTTATGATTGCTTCCTCAAAAACTGTCTTACTATAAAATTTAAGCAGAAGACAGAGCAGGTTAAAGGTTGATCAGTAGATACTAAACTACGATTAGATAAAAATTGAAGAAATTCCAATGGGGATTATCCAGTATGATGAGTACTGATAAGAATGATATGGGATACACATCACAAAGCTCCATGGGGATTTTGAATGTGCCCATCATAAAGAAACAGGGGAGATGATTAACCTGCTATGACTAATATACAATTCATTCATGACACCTTAAGAATACACACAACTTTATTTTTGTGTATCAGTTTTTAAAAGATAAGTTTAATAATTATTTACTGTTAAAAATTAAAGTGTCTAGTGCTAGGAAGTCTTATTAGAGAGCTGTTGGCTGCTGCCTGCCAATAAGAATGAAGAAGGCCTCCCAGTTCTCCTACATCCCCTCCCTCTCCTCCATGACTTCTGATCAGAATGTATTATGTGAGATTCCTAGATAATCAATAAAAATACTATGTTTAAAAAAAATAAAGTGTTAGAAATTTGAAAAAAGAGGGAGAGTCCAGCCTGAGCTATATGGAGAGAGTTTTTCTCATGGAAATACTTCATGAAGGGAGAAATGGATAAAGGGGCAAAAAAGCATAGCAAGAGACAGACAGACAGATGGTCAAAATCTGTAAACAGTATAGCCACATATATGTGTGTTTAATTCTTTGTATGCTTGGAGAAAAAATGGTAAACAAACACAGTACAACACTGCCAAAAACCAATAATAATCAAGAAGACCATGGTTCTCTAAGTCAAAAGCTCCTAATCAGGCATCTTGGGAAACAATACTTTCCTCTGTGGAGACCACAGTAAAATTACCAGAAAGACCAGGGACCCCGAACCTATGCTTCCCACCTTGACATGACAACAACTGACAAACAACTACCATTGGTCCCATTCCATGACCACTGTCCAGAGGCCAGGGATTCCTACACCAACTCTAACTTGAGCCATAATATTTCATTTTCTATTTTATTTTATTTTATTTTATTTTATTTTATTTTATTTTATTTTATTTTATTTTATTTTTAAGTACTTTTTGCTAATGGGGAAGACTTGCCAGTAATTTCAAAGATACTTTGATTTTTTTTTTTAGAATTAAAGTATCAATAGTTACATATTATCTTTCTGTCAAACCATATGAATAGTAAATACAAAGACGTAATCCCCCATGAGCACACCAGGTATGAAGATCAGGCATCAGTACACAAGAAATTCCATACAACTGTACCAAGAGACGGAAGAAGGAAGAAAAACACAGATGTTGATTAAAGACATACTGTGCACCCAACACTTCTAACCACATCTATCATGCTCAGTGTGAGTTGACAACTAGAAAGACTCTAGAATCATCTGGGAGATGGCCCTCTAGACCTGCCTGTGGGAGATTATCTTGATTGCATGTATTGATGTGGGAAGACTCATCGTGAATGTTAGCAGGACTATTCTCTAGGCAGAGCATCCTAGACTATAGAAGGCGTGCACTCATTTCTCTCTGCTTCCTGATTGTGGATGTGATGTAACCAGTTGCTTCAAGCAGTTGTTGCCTTGATGACCCCACCATGATAATCATTCTCCTCTAACTGAGAATGAGATCCAGTTCTATCCTCCTGAAGTTGCTGCTTTTAGAATATTTCATGACAGCAACAGGGGAGAAAATGAAGACAATATTGAACACGGCTCTCTAAGTTTTTACAATAGTAGTTAGAGCTAGACAAACCCTTACACCTAAAAGGTTTAAAAGCTTAACAGATATTATCTCTATTGCCCAAGGTCACAGAGTTAAGACACTTCTTGCTGCCTCAAAGAGTCAAGATCAAAAACTAAAGGAACTTATTGCTCCAGCCAATACTCAAAGGATGCAAAGAACTTGAGCCCCCTGGAAGGTAAAAATATCTTGTGAAAGTTGTGGCTCAGTACAACACATGGCCCACTTAGTGATGCTCGAATAAAAGGTCTCCATTTCCCCAGAAACCTTTTCTGTAAGGGCTCTCTAACTTGCCTGCCTAGTACTCCTGGTCTGCAAATAACACCAAAAGGTCATTTGTTGCTGTTGCTGGTTTGGGGAGGTGAGGATGGCTCTTTACAGTGCTATGTCTGAACAGAATCTCATATGTACTAGACAACACCCCACCATATGACTATTATGCACCTTGCCAAAGGAATGCCTACAGTCTGCTAAATATACTCTCCAGCCCTAAATGTCTTTCTTAAGGCAGTCGTGTGAGCACAGCACAAGGCATTAGCCTTCTATGCTCTTTTTTCTAAAGCCCTATCTGGTTTTAACCTCTATCCTTATTTCTGATTTTGACCCCTTCCCTACCTAAAGTCACTGGGCATGAAATTTCAGTCTTCCTTGACAATCAAAGCTTAGATGCATATTCCTCTCAGGTTGATCTCCTTGTCGCCCTTTAATTATTCCCATTGACACATGGAAACTCCTCCACCCCTCTTTCTCTATCTGGACCTACATTCTCTTGGTGGCTTTAGAAAGTTTCATTCCTAATGAAACCTCTGACTACCCTGTCCCTCAAAGATTATTTCCTCTGCCCTATCATCACCAACAATTCTGTATCAACACATATCCTGCTTTCTTCTATCTTTTGATTAGCCTGTGTTAACTGGCTGCTCTGGCTGCTCTAAGACAGTGACCACTTAGGTCTGTCCACCCTGACCAGATGATAAGGAGGCACCTTGTTCACTAGCAAGCCCCCAGGCAGATGCTGAGCTCTGAAAGAACTTACAGGTGTGTATTTTCTGCATTGAGAGGTGCTTCTCCAGGTTCCGCCTGAGCTTCTCTTCATTTCCGTACTTGCCCACAGTGCCATCGTCACACAGGATGAAGTGGGAGTGCATACAGTTGAGTGTGGTGAGTTTGCTGAGTGGGTTACTCAGCGTCTGGTACATACATACCACCTGAGAGACAGACAGAACAAGAGAGTGTCCAAGTTCAAACCAGACCTCACTGATTCTAAATCCCTTCCCCATACACTAGTGGAGAACTTTTCTAGATTAAAAGAATCACTTACAATTTAGGACAGTGTTTCTCAACAAGCTTATCTTTTCTTAAAAAAAAAAAAAACTCTATTTCTTATAGATCTTACTTCAATATTCACCTCACAGTGCATGAAAAAGACAAATTGAACAATACCTGCACACACTCTGCCCTGTTCAGCAAGATAAGCACATAGCCATGGGCTTTGATGTCTGGGTAGTCATATTCCTAAAATGGTTCTAAATACTTCTCTTGTTCCTGAACACTAAAATATAGTTCAAGGATGGATACCAGTCAATAGACCATACCACTATCCAAAATTTATTCTAGTATACTTCCAAAAAGTCTTTAGCACCATTTTTTTTACATATTCCAAATAAAATAAAGAATAAAAGACAGCAATGTGGCATCAAGATCTTTGACATTTGTGGACTCTCTCTCTCTCTCTCTCTCTCTCTCTCTCTCTCTCTCTCTCTGTGTGTGTGTGTACGTGTGTGTATGTGTGTATGTGTGTGTGTATGTGTGTGTGTATGTGTGTGTGTATGTGTGTGTGTGTTCTCTCTCTCTGTGTGTGTGTGAGTGTGTGTGTCTGTGTGTGAGTGTGTGTGTCTCTGTGTGTGTGTGTGTGTGTGGTAGTAGTAGTAGTAGTTGCTGTAACAGATGTATCAATAGTACCCAGATCACATATTAACTATCTGTTTTTTGCATGTGGTAATACTATATTTGGAAGGAGTTTAGACTAAAAAAAATAACAAAAATGAACAAAATACCCTCTATTTTAAGACAGACTGAGAGGAACTATGGAGCAGAGTGAGGGAAAACTCTGCTCAGGATGCATTGTATAAAAGAAGAATAAAAAGAAGATGAACGTTGTCATCTATTTTCTACAATTCCATGAAGACTATATTCCATACCACCGAAAGCAGGAAATCTGATAAATATATGCACTGGTCATGGAAGCAGATAGATGGATTTTAAGGGTTGTAATAGAACGTAAGAAATAAAAGAGGTCCAACTTCGGCTTTGGTTTGTGCACAGCTTTAACTTGTATGTGTCTTTGTTTAAGCTGAGGTGAATGACTGTAGAGGCAAAAGACCAAGAAAAGGAGCAGGAGCTGGGCAAGGCATGGATGGCAGGGGAGTGATCTAGAACATGTGTGATATCCAAGTAGAGGGAGGAAATGCTGAGGTGGAAAGAGTTAAGCTAGAATTGGGGAAGGAGACTAGGAAAAAGAATTGGGGGAGTCAACAAAACGAAGGGAAGGATGTGTGGGAAAGTCCTGTGGAGAAGTTCTCCTAATTCATGAGTTGATAAAAAAGGAGAATTTTAAGAATTCTTATTTTGCAGATATAATTATTTGATGTCTAGAATTTGCTTCAAAATAATAAACACAGTTATTTGGAAATAGGTAATTGATGCCCCAGAATAGAGCAATGCTAGAACAGTGAGGCAGGAGTGTGTGAGTGGGTGGAGCACTCATAGAGGAGAGGGGAGGAGGGGGACAGAATGGGGGATTTGTGGTGGGATAACGGGGAAGGAGGATATCATTTGAAATGTAAATGAATAAAATGATTAATTAAAAAATAAAAATGAATAAATATCCATCTGCTCATTACCAAATGACTTGAGAATGTATTTCCCAGTATATGACTATAAAAAAGATTAAAGATAATAATTTAAAATACCTTATGTTTCACATTTTAAAAACTGGACAACAAATTAATAGCTGTTTAAACTGGGAAATAACACACAAGAGCTCATGGTTCTAACCTCACCATTGTCTAATAAGTGTGATTTTCAACATAAAAGTAAAAATAAACCATGGCCATGTCTACTCCAATTGACATGAAAAAATAACTATTAAATAATCACACAACAATATGAGACTCGAGGTGTAAGATTCTGCCATTACATTCTAGAAATAGATAGGGACTCTGGCAATGGCTCAGTAAGCTCAGGCCATTCCCTTCCAACAGACACAGATACAGGGGTCTGGGAAGATGGGTCATATGCCAAAGAGCTTACAAGGACCTGAATTCAATCCCCGCGTGTTGCAGGGAGGAAAGCAAGCAATCGGGGTAGGGGAGGTGGGAAAAAAGTCAAACATCGTGGTACATGTTTGTATTGCCAGCACTGGGAAGACAAAATTGGCAGATCCCTGGTGTTCTCTGGCTGGCCTGCCTAGCCTGCTCAGTGAGAGGTCCACATAAGACGCTATCTCAAAAACAAAAATGGAGCGGGGGGAGTAGGTCACCTGAGGAGTAGTACTAATGTTGTGTTCTGGCCTCCACACAAGTCTGCATACATATGTGCATATATACACACACACATGCACATACACACACACATACACATATATATGCACACACACAGTCAAAACACAGGAATGAATGAAGCAGGGCAGAGGATAAGCTGGGGCAAGAGAGCTAGACGGGGCCAACTAAACAGTGTACTGTATTCAGTGCAAATCCCTGCAAGGCTCTAAACATTGGCTGGGTGAAGAATAGACCCACTGAAGAATTGACAAGGAGAAGAGCATGGTCCAATTTATATTTTATAGGAATTATTAAGCTACTGTGTTGAGGCTAGATTACCACAGAAGACAAGAGTAAGAGAAAGGAAGACTCTTACAAGCATTTGAATGTCAAAACATGGCTACTTGAATCTGTCTCAGCGACACTGGAGGGGGAAAAAAAGAGTCTGGAAATATTCTGAAAGTGGAGGTAAGAGTTGATTGACAGGTCAGGTTTGAGACATAACACAAAGCGCTCCCTCTAGGCTTAATCCAAGCTTTTTGGCTTTGGCAGTTGTGAGATGAAACTGGCATTTGGTGAGATAGGGTGACAGATGTAGTAGTGGAAGACAGACGACCGTTTGGGATTTATTACATTTGAGGAGTCTTAGCAGACATTTGGGTACATTGTAAAGCAGGCAATTGAGATAGATGTCACTTCCCCCTGGTGTAAAGATTGTCTACTCACATCTTTTCCAACCAGCTCTCTCTGGTTCTCAATGACACCCCAAGGAGGGATTCCAACTGTCCAGATTTTCCTCAAAGACATAGAGGAATGAGCTTTTAGGGCATCCCCAACATGTTTGGACACTCCTATGAAACCAGAGTAGAATCAAATTTGAGCTCACAGATGATGCTTAACAATGATGCTGACAGACACAAATAGACAATCCTATGTAAAACGTCATTTTTAAGGTAGGCTCCGAGCACAGTAGAATTAGATGCAGGCTTCTTGGCTATCTCTCTCATCCCTTAACCTCTCTACTTCTTACTACTGAACAAGAAGCTGAGTAGTTCTCCTCTTCTTTGACCAATTCTAACAGTAGACACTACTCTTGCCTTGCTAGAATGTTCCATGCGCTGCTTGACATCATGAGCATTCCAGTGTTCTCCAGTGTACCAGTAAAATAGCCTTCATATTACCTCTGAAATAGAAGCCTGAGGTTCAGAGACCACAAGGTTGGGCGTGGGTATTTTGGTTTGCTGTTGTTTGTCTTTCTCTCCGATATCACCATACTTCCTGTGAGTGCTGTAGAACAGCGATCTGATATCTGGCTACCCGACTCACAGTTAGAAGGGGGAAGGAGAGAACGAGGGAGTCAGGCATGAACCTTACCTGAGTTTATGCCTTCTGTGATTATCCATGCCCCTGTGGTCTCCGCAGCTTTGACCAGACCCTGGCTGAAGGTCTCTTTCAGCTTGGAGGACATCTTGAAGTTCTGAAGACCCCCATGGACAGAGATCACAAGCTTCGGCAGCTCCATATTCCACTCCTTCAACATTAAGTGCAACAGATGTTCCGAGTTTGTATCCCAAGACGTTCTAATGTACTGGAAGGGCAGCACAGAACCATGAACAGAACACAGAGAGGCATGCTTGTCAGTAGAGACAATGAACACACAGGAGGCCCACGAAAGTAGCCACGGCTTGGCCAGATATATCCGGGACTTCTCTAAAAGTTTAGCTTCACCTAATGCAAATATTTGATTTTAAAGGTTCCACACTCCCTCCAACTTCCTTCTGGGAATTATAAATCACAACAGGAAGCTTCCTCCAGTTGGAGATTTGGTCTCCACAGTTCTTCAGAAGACTGGAAGTGAGGGGAAAAAATACTCGGTGCATCAGCAGAGCCATTTAGAGAGAGCTTTACAAAGCAAATGAAATACGACTCTTTATAAATGCCATGGATTTGCCTTCCCTTTGTCCTTTTCATACACATGAAAATTTTTAAAAATTTAGGAGCATGAACATATATATTGTCCTTTTAGTGTACCTCCAATCATTTCTTTGCATGTAATTATTCTTTGCATATGATTACTCCTCTGAGAATTTTTTTCTTTCCAGAATAACTGCACTCAACAGGAGCCTAGCATGAATGTCCTCTGAGAGACTCCACCAAGGAGCTGATTCAGACAGATACAGACACCCACAGCCAAACAGTGGATGGAGCCTGGAACTCTTATGGAAGAATAAGAGGAAGGATTGAGGGCCCTAAAAGGGATAGGAACTCTACAAGAAACCAACAGAGTCAACTAACCTGGAACCTTGGGTCTCTCAGAAACTGAACCAACAAAGAAAGAACATACACTGTACTTTGGCCTCCCTGTACAACATAGCAGATGTGCAGCTTGGTCTTCATGTGGGTTCTGAACAAATGGGGCAGGGGCTATCCCAAAAGCTGTTCCCTGTCCGTGGAATATGTTCTTCGAACTGGTCTGCCTTGTCTGGTTTCAGTGGGAGAGGATGTGCCTAGCCCCACAGAGACAGGTGACGGGGGATGGATGTGGGGGCAGGAATACCCAGAGAGCCCTTACCTGCTCAGAGGAGGAGGAGGCAGAAGGGAAGGATTATGGGAGAAGGTGACTAGGAGTGGGGCTGTGTGTAGCATATAAAGTGAATAAATAAAAAATAAAAATTAAAAATTAGCATGCAAATGAAAACAAAAAAAACAAAATATTTGCACTCATCTTTGAGAGTACACATCAAAGAAAAGATCAGTAAAGTCACCTGGGAGAATCACTGATTCACTGCAGCTGACTTGACGTTATATGGCATGACTGGTTACAAGCCACTTCACAGTGAGGTGAATTTGCCTTTTTCAAACAGAATGCCAACCAACGAGTAGGAATAAGCCAGTGTTATGAAAAGAAAGACGGGCATTAGGAAAATATGAATTCTAGGTCTATGCCAAAAGACAGCATGGGTGGAACTTTCCATACAAGCAAGTATAAATTACTAAAATAGACTCTAAAATGATAATAACAACTTAAAGTTGATTACTATTTGTCTTTGAAGTTGTTACTATAGATCACTTCATTTCATAATTAAAATATTAGAGTTTCTGACCAACAGCTATCAAAACACGTATGTAACAAGAAGAATAGAAGGTTGATCAGGCTCCCATGTAAGAAAGACGCCACTGAACTGCCAGGTTTCACAGGACACTGTAGTAGTGGGGCCAACAAAGGCAGGCCCTCACTAGATGGTTTTGTTCCCAAGAGCAGTTGGTGAGGGGAAAGGAGTAGCCTAGGTTCCTGTGCCCCAGCTCCTCTCCCAGGTAAGCCTGTCTTCACCTCTAAATCTTCCCCATACTAGAAGATACTGCTCTTTGGATAGGCATCACTGAAGAACTAAGCTATTAGTACTGGCCACTTCTTCTATTTCTTCTGTGAGTAACTCATTCCCCCAGGCAGAATTTAATAGGCAGGTTCTCTCAGATTCCTTACAGAATTAGGTGGGAGGGATTCTGGGAAGGGAACTACAATAAATAAAAACAAAAGATAGTCTCTCAAGCTTTGGTGCTGTTCAACATGAACCTGAAGGATAGAGGAAGCCTGGGCAGCTGTACCTTGCTGAGACATGCAGTAAAATGCACTCCTGCAAACAACGTTATAAAAAAAGGACAGCCAAAAGCTGAGTCTAAAACAAGCTATTTGTACGGGCTGAAGAGATGGCTTGGGGGATAAGGACACTGTCTGCTCTTCCAGAGGATGCAAGTTCTCAATTCCTAGAGTTACAGCCATCTGCAACAGCAGTTCCAGGAGATCTGATGCTCTCTTCTGACCTCCACGGGCACCAAGCACACATGAGATGCAAACATACACACAAGCAAAACATCCTTACACATAAAATAAAAACAAATTTTTAAAGAAGCTAATCATCAGCAGATGTGTCTAGCTATATCTTCAATTTTCCTGAACACTCTTTGACCTTTGAACAAGCCAGCCTGCTTTATTGGGTCCCTTCACCTTGTTCACCTCCAGCTCACAAGTTTAACACGTGAATTTGTTTTCTCTACTTTTGAATGCCTTTCTGATTGCTTGCTGTGTCCTTTCATAGAAGGGGTTTTCAAATTCTCTCAAAGAACCTGTCTGTATTCCATTCTCATAGCATCCTACCCCTGTGAGGTCTGTATATCTATTACCTACCCCCACCCCATACACAATACCAAACAACATTAATACAGGGAACCTATTTTCTTTGGACTATAGGGAGTATATAGGCACACAGTAAGTAATGAATGCCCAGGAAAAGAAGGAGAGGAAGGTGGTTAAGAATAAACAATACAATAATAGAGCCTCTGACTTGCACATAAGATGTCTTGGGTTCTATCTTCAGTACTGCAACAAGCAATAACAATGAGAGAAAGGCAAACAGACAGACAGACACATAGACAGAGGGAGGACAAAGACAGAGAGAAATGGTTCCGAGGAAAAGAGTATTTGCTGTTCTTCCATAGGATTCAAGTTCAGTTCTTAACACCCACAGTAGGGATGCAACAGGCTTATAACAACCTGTAACTCCAGCCCCAGGGCACCCAACACCTGCTTCTGGCCTCCAACGGTAACCCCACTTCATGTGTCATATACTTCATAGACACCCACAGAGAGAGACACAGATACATACACAGACACACACAAACATACATACAAATAAATAAATAAATAAATAAATAAATAAATCTTAGAAAAAAAAAAAGGAAAATCAAACTTTAAGAAAAAATTGCATGCAGGGCTCTCTAAGAATCAGGCTCCAAAGGGGATTGGAAATGAGGGGGATTTTTCTTCCCTAAAACAAAATAAGCATGCATAGTCAAACACAAGAGGATGAGTAGCTGTACATGTAGATTCCTCTAGAACTGCACTGTGACTTTGTAAAGAGGAACTTCTGTTTAAGTGCAGCCTTCTGATAGTCGCCTGCAAAACATGACTGGCGCTCAGCTTTTCTGAAGTTGTTCCACTTGGGAAATGAGCTATTAAGAAAACAGCAGGCAATTAGTGTTCACAGAAGAAAATGCCCATGGGAAAATGGACCTATTAGCACTGTATACTACAATTTGGAACTGCAGCGAGACAGAAAAGCACGGTGTTAAGGCCTACTCACCAGCCTGCGTCATTAATGGAAGATGGTAGAAGTTGTACAAGGTGGGGTCTAGTGGGAAGGCGTAAGGTCACTGGGGGTGCACCCTGCAAGGATATTGTTACCCTTGTCCCCATTCCCTACTCCTTCCAGACTGCTGTTAAAATCAGTCTGTGCCCTGCCCAAGGTCACTGCACTTTGTGTAAAATGATAGTGTTACGGGCTGCTATACCTTACCCTCAGAGATTCCATTTTACAAGCACTATTCGACTTCACTTTGCCTGTAAATACACAGGTAGGATGACTCTTCAGCTTGCAGCTTGAAAAATAGCACGAGGAACAGACTGACAAACTTACCCTAAAATTTAAAAAGGTCCCACACTATACATTTATAAAGTCAACTGAGATGATATGAACTCATAACTGTACTAAAGTCATATCAAAAAAAAACTAATTTTGAGAACTTATTAGACATACCAAGCTGAAGAAGGGGTTTAACAGCCTGACCTGGACTCCATGGTTCAAAAGTCACCTAACAGCAAAATAGTGATGAACTCTATTAACGTGTCATGTGACCACCCTCAGTGTGCATCAAAGGACTAGCAAGCAGAGAACTCAGAACTGTCCCAGGAATCTCGTCTCATCTCAGTCCTCACTGCTGCTATACCATAACTATCATCTGTTCACCCATCTTGACCTAGTCCTGTACCTGGGATGTAGACAATGCCTCTCATTCCTAAGAGAAGAGAAGACCAGGCTAGATTTGACAATGGATCAATGACATGGATCCCTTTTCAATAAATCCACACCATGTGGCTCTTCTCCTTAGGCGTACATGTGCAAGGTCTCTTTTGTTCAAAACTAGTGAGATGGTTTGGGTTATCAGCAAACCTTGGAGTGGTAGATATGTTCTCCATCTTGGAAATTAATGGTGCCAAAGGTATCTGTAGGGCTTTTCACTGTGTGCTTTTCCACAGACCACTGCTCGTTTCCATTGCCCTCAGTGGCTGAGAGGCTCCAGGCATGATCTAGCCCATGGTGTTCTTGAATCAGCCGTCCACAGTAACACCTAAACTCCAGAAAACAAGTCACTCAGAACAGAAAATTGATGCAATATTTCCAATCCTCGGATTGGGGTGTAGAAGTCACATATTAATAACACTTAAATTTTCATATTCAGTTCACTAAGCTTGGTAGCAAGCATCTTTACCCTGTAAGCAATCTCCCCAGTCCCTGATTCAACTTCTTAACAGTCTGTCAGTCATGTGATGAAAAATCATCATAAATATGTATAATTAGACTTCATTTCCTCTATCGCTGTTTTTTTGTTGTTTTGTTTGTATGCTTGGGTTTTTTGATGTTTGGTTGGTTGGGTTTTTTTTTGTTTTTTGTTTTTTGTTTTAGGTGGAATCTTACAATACTCAGGCTAGTCTTTAACTTCTAGCTTTGGATTGAAGTAATTCTTCTCCCTCAGCCTCCTAATTAGTTAGACCACAGAAGGTGCCATCAGATGTGACTCTATCTCCTTTTAAATAAAAGTAGTTGGAGTGAGAGAAACAAAAACTTTTGCTATTGATAAAGTACTTCAGGATTCTTCATCTATCGTTTCCCTTCACTTTATCAATACATGATATATAACTATATAATTTGTAAATAAGCATATATATATATATATATACATATATATATATATATGTATATATATATATATATATATGGATTCATATCCTAAAATGTTCAATGGTATAGTGAAAAGATATTTTTAAGTTAGTTAAATAATATAACAGGAATACAAATAGTTAAGAATAATAAGTCAGCTAGCTTGCTAACCCAAGGTCGTTACAAGAGATACAGAGCAGAGAAACAAAGGTCAATTGAGTGTTCCGGGAATCTGTTCCTGTGATGTCTGACTTAGCCTCCTCTGGAAAAACTCCCACCAGAGGTCCCAAAGACTTATAAATTAAATTCAGCCAGATGGTCTGTTGACTCAGATAAACATTTACACTGGGTCCCAAGGCTACAGGGACCAGAGACTATTCTCACGAGATTTGTCAAACCTCTGCCTGAGAACTGCTTACACATATTACAGACATTTATAACAACCAATTGTGTACGATTACCCACAACTCTTTCCCTCCCCCCAGCCTTTATCTATAAAAACCCTAAACTGTTAGATGACAGGGCCGAATCCCCTGTCTCCCACGTGAGATACGTTTCAGTCTGAAGCTTCGTTTATTAAACATGACTCAAGTTATTACAGCAAGAGGTCTCTGGAGTGTCTTTGGGGGTCGCGTCCTTCATGAGTCCCCCCTTGGAGGGGTCTTTCAATAGTATACAGTAAAACTTGTGGAGTCTACTCTATCAAAGGCAAAAATCTTTACCATAGTTGTATATATGTATATTCATTTATAAATATTATATACTTATACCAGTCTACCTAGAAATATTAGTCAAAATAGAAGTAGAATTATAAATGCACCAAATTTTTCATTGCTTTCCCATTCATTATTATAAAATATTAGAAATGGCTATGAAACATAAGCATTCATCAATAAGAATGCAAATATTGGGCTTGACATATAGCTCCATTGGTAGAGTATGTGCTTAGCCTGAAAGAAGCCCTGGGTTTGATCTCCAGTACCACAAAAGTCAGGCAGGGTGGTTTACACCAATAATTTCAGCACTATAAAGATGGAGAAGAGAGAATCAGAAATTCAAGGTTGTCCTTAGCTAGTTTAATAATATCTAAATAATAAGTTTAAGGACAGCCTAGGCTATATAAGACCCTGTCTGAAAAACAAGAAAGAAGCCAGTACGTCAACTGTGATGAGGAGGACCTATAATCTCAGCTACTGGTGAGACTGAGACCAAAGAATTTGAAATTGGAGGCTACCCTAAGCAAGTTAACAAGACTTCAAGACTGTCTCAAATTTTAAAAATATAAAAATCAAATAATTTAAAAGTTAAAGTTAACATTGGTTAAATTTACAAACTCTAGGATATAGTCAGAATTAAGGAAGGTTTATTTTGCTCTACTCACAAAAAGGACCCACTTGCTGACACATACTTTAAAATATATGGTAAAATTTGTATAGTACTTCAGCCTACTGTGCAGTGTGGGTGTTGTGTCTGCTTTTATGCAAATTCAGCAGGTGTAACTTATATGTCAAATGCCTCACTGCATTCCCAACACAGAGCTATTATTTTATCCAAATACAATGTGATAGCAAAATAAAATGTAATGTTTCCTACACGTTTTAAGTAGTAAAAGTTGTTGTCAAATATCTGAAAATATTTGCACGTCTCAATAACTCAGGGCTTCTATTAGTTTCAAGTACCATGCTCAAGAAAGTCAAAAGAAAATGAACACATACACACACACACACACACACACACACACACACACACACCCCTTTTGTACTTCTATCCTTTGTAGAGTAGGAAACTAACAGATGCCTTACTCTGAGTCCCTGAAATATCAAGAGCATTCTGATACATTTGTCATCCATTAGTCGATAGAGCTGTTTCTATTGATCCAGCCAGTACATGGGTATCCAACTTCCCCCTCACTGCTCTATGGGCGTTGCTCCCAAATGCTCCATTGAAGACGACAACGTTCCCTGATACAGAAGACTGTTCTAAGATTTACGAGGAGCTGAGCTCCCTGGCTAGAACCTCCAAAAAAGCTCTTGAGATCTAAAGAAACTCCCCAAAGTACTTTCAACACACTACCTTAAAATGAAAAGGAAAGTGATTTTTTCAGGAAGTCTCACCTGACTAAGTTATGGCAGATTTGGCAGTCTGAAGTGCATCTGAGTCAAAGAAATAAAGTTATTGTTAGTTTACTAATACATGTGATAATAGCTTAATGCTTACTAGTAAATATTTATCATTTTCCACGGTGTAAAAGTTGGAATTTGCTAAATATTCATGCATCATTTACTTTCCATGTCATTCCCTGTGTATAAGCATATTGTAGAAACAATGATAAAATTAATAAAACATGAACTATGGTACCAAAAAACCTAGATTTGAATACCATTGATTCAATGATTCTCCTAAGCCGCAGCTCTCACATTTAAACATAATTTAAAATACTTTATGACCCCCATAAGGTGATAACAAGGATTCTCTTAGCTAATATATTTGAAGTAGATCATGCTACCTGGTACACTGCAGTATACGTAATGAAAGAAGTACGAAAGTTAATGTTGCTCACTGCTGTGACAAAATACCTAATAAAAGCAAGTTAAGCAAAGAAAACTTTACTTTGGCTCACAGTTTGAGGGGATACAGCCCATCATGGTGGCCAGTCATGAAGGGGGGAGTGTGAAGCAGCTGCTCACACTGTGTCAGTCAGTAGTCAGGCACCAGAAAGAGGAACAAAGACACTCAACCTTTCTCCTTTCATTCACTCGGAGACCAGCCTCTGAGAAATGTACCAACCATATTCTGGGTGGGTCTTCCAGCCTCAGTTAAATATCTCTGGAAATACTCTCATAAACACACACATTAATGTGTGTCTCATTAATTCAGTAGGTGATTCTTAATTCAGTCAAACTGAACTTGATGATGGATATTAACCATAATAGATAGGCATCATTCTTGTTGTTGTTGTTGTTGTTATCATTGCTATTATAACTACTAAACAATGATGATAACAGAGCTCTAGGCTATCTAGTAATAAAACATATTTTAAAATATTTTAAAGTCATAAAACAGGACCAGTGATGTAAGTCAGTCGACAGAGTGCTTGTCTAGCACACCCAAGGCCTTGGGTTCTAACACTAGTACCTCATATACTGGGTATAATGACACAGATGTATCATTCCTACAGTCTAGAGGTGGAATGAGGAAGATTAGAAGTTCAATGTCATGCTCTGAGACATACTGAGTACAAGACCATCCTGGGCTACAAGAGACACTGTGTAGATAGATGATAGATAGATAGGTAGGTAGATAGATAGATAGATAGATAGATAGATAGATAGATAGATAGAAATATGCACCTCTATGTATGTGTGCATGCGTGTATGCATGAGTATGCTTATGTACATCTGTGTGTATAACAATATCAAACTAAATACTGCTGTTGATCCACCTTTATGCCTGTCTGATGCCACTCTGTTTTATTAACACTATTTTGTTGTAGTATTTTTTATTTGTATGGTTGGTTAGCTTTGTTTTATATTTGATTCACTTGGTTTGGTTTAGTTTGGTAGGTCTTAGTTAGTTTTATTCATTTGGTCATTTGGTTTGGTTTAATTGGTTTGGTTTAGCTGGCTTGGTTAGTCTGTTTTGGTTTACTTGCTTTGGTTAGTTTAATCTGATTTGCTTTGGTTTTGCTTGGTTTAGTTGGCTTACTTTGGTTTGGTTTGGTTTAGTTTGGTTTAGGCGATTTTGTTGATTAGCTTAATTTGGCTCAGTTTGACTTATTTATTTAGCACAGTGCTAAGAATGGACTACAAGACCTTATACACACTAGGCTCTGCCACAGAACTCTAGACCAATTTCCATCATTATGCATCAAGACATCTCAAAGGCAAGGCCTCTGTGTTTCCGTCTTCTTTCATATTCTATTCTACTTTTCTTGGCTGGAGAGTCTGTGAAGTCCTAGGATCCATCTCTAGTATCAAAGTAAATCAATAAATAAGTAGATAGATAGATAGATACATAGATAGATAGATAGATAGATAGATAGATAGATAGATAGATAGATAGATGGATGGATGGATGGATGGATGGATGGATGGATGGATGGATGGATGGACGGACGGACAGACAGACAGACAGACAGACAGATGAGAAAGAGAGGTTAAAATTGGTTTTCTTTTCTGGACACATATTTATCCATATAAATTTCAAATCTCTTGAAAAATCTTTCAAGATCTTGATGAGTATTTTATTGAATTTGTAAAATGAGTCAGGACTTAATATATGTATAGTTACTTATATATTAATAATATATAAATACATAATAATAATAATAATTTTTTTCTCTTTATAATTCAGAAAAACTTCCAGGATTGAGTCATCAATGGTCATATTTTCAGTGTAAAGTAAATTTTTAAAAAACTATAGTTTTTCAGGAGAAAAAAAAAGATATTGCTTATAAAATCAGGAGAAGTGTAAGCTGCTTGGAACCTGACATTCTAGCCTTCACTTCTCTTGTACCAGCCTTGATGTCTTTCCTTAAAAAATAAGAAGAACAAGAAGTTAGAATCAAGCCTATTAGATTTGCTGTCTTATTAGGAACTAAAAAAATATTAATAAAAGAGAGAAATTTTTTTTCCTGCTAAATAGTGAACTACTAGTTTTATTGTGTAAATCTGACCCCACCTTATCCCCAGGCTAATGTTTTGAATGTTTGAATTCCAGCCCCACAGCCCAGGGCTTGTGATGCTGTTTGAAGGCTTGCAACCTTTAGGAAGTGGGGCCTGGCTGGCAGAAATATTCACTTAATGGCAGGCCCTTGAAGGTAATGACTTACCACTCATTCCAACCACAGTTTCTGTTTTCTTATCTGAACAATGTAAACAGGATCTTGCCACACACAGGAGGTAGAGTGGACTACCCTACATGTTCTACTGATTCTTCTGAAGTTGAAAGTCAAAATCAATCCTTCTTCCCTAAAAATTGCTTCAATTCATTTTGTCACATGGATAAGAATCAAGAAATACACCACCATTTCCTACCCATTACACTGACAAAAACACATAAAGCCATGCTTCTTGAGACTCTTACTAGAGTCCAAGAAAATGAACTATATAAGAGGAATGATCATAGCCATCTAACATTTTTTGTAATCACATGAACATAGAGGCATAGTATTTCTCCTCTGTAAAATGTAGAAAGTCTTGGATATTTCATAGAATTATGGTAAATGGAGCCAGGCACACTGTAGTTCTAGCACCCAGGAAGCTAACACAGGACAATGATGAATTTAAGACAACTGGGGTTGCATACTGAGACCCTATCTTAAAATAAATCTGTATCTTTTCTCTGGAACTAGGGGTTGGTGGGAGAGCCCCACGCACACTAAGCGAACGCTCCAACACTGAGCTCTGTCCCACATCCAACGTTCTCCTTGCGTCATAGGATATGTGGAAAGACATTTCATATCTTGTCACTTTTCCTAAGGTCCCAGGAGATTATGAAGATGATTTTGCACTGGAAGCGAATGGAGTGACTTGGACCTCAGTCTGCTTTACACTATGCCTATCAACCCATCACATGACACTATAAAAGATGAATGGAAAGAGGAAGAAAAAAAAGTGTTACCTTGGCATCCTATAAACATTTTATAAACAGGTGAAATGAGAATTTCCAATCACAGGACTTACCAACCATAGGTAATTCAGTGAGGGTGGGACTAGTCAATGTTTAACAAAGGCAAAGAACACCATTTTAATTCTTGCCAAAGAACCTTCCCATGCACCCCCTGTACCCATGACTTCTAAACTTTAAACGCACATAAGGCCAACGGCACAAGGGAATCTAAAATAGACTAGCTGCCCTAATTAAAATATTTCCCTTCTATTTCCCTATCAATTTTCCACCAGGTCAATGACATCCAGTCCTAACCTCATGAACCTGATTACCCTGAGGAATTTTCCGTAGATCTTTCTTTCTCCATTTCTTCCCAGCTGCCTAACTGACCTTTGTCCTACAAGTAGAGTTTCCATAGGGTTGTCCAGAACTCAGAGTTCTCTACATCAGCCCTGCCGCCTGCAACCTACATACACACAAAGCCCCCCAGAGGAAAACATAAGTAAGTCTGGAGAGTCCTTGGATCTCTGCAATGACCTTAACGTGTCCTCAAGAATCATCATTTCCCATGGATACTTACTTAACATAAAGAATAGTCATAATATTTTTGTATAGTTAAAATGTAGATACTAGGGCTGGAGAGATGGCTCAGTGGTTAAGAGCACTGATTGCTTTTCCAGAGGTCCTGAGTTCAATTCCCAGCAACCACATGGTGGCTCACAACTATCTTTAATGAGATCTGATGCCCTCTTCTGGTGTGTATGCAGACAGTTACAATGTACTCATAAAAATAAATATTTTTTTTAAAAAATGGAGATAGTAAAAATTATTTGCCTAAACTTGGGTTACAGTCTTGTACTTCTATGACACCTGTCCTGCCTCTAAGATGGACCACATGGAGTACTGTCCTGTAGTACCACACAGAATGGAATCCACCACAGTGTAGTGCTGTTAGTACATGTAATTTTTCCTCTTTTGAGTTGATTACTTCTTTAAATAGACTTTTGACAGGAACATATTGGTGATAGGCACTGGAGACATTGTGAGGTAACTGACAAAGTCCATTCTCTTACTAGGTTTTCTACAATATCCATGGCATGCTTTTATGGAGTAAAGGAATAAATGCATTGAAATTAATAAATACCCTCACTTCATAAATATAATCAAAACTTCTACCTAAGTGATATTTCTAAATTTCTTCAAACAGCACTCAATGTAACGTTGCTTTAAAAACAAATGTAATTTAAAAACTGTACCTGTGAGGCTCTTTTGAGCTGGGAATGAATTTGTTGCATTCTCTCTTGTAGAATACTCCTTCAATCCAGGATTTCTGAAACAGCAAAACATAATCTGTGATCTGTTTGAAGGAAATGAGAGTGTGGTATAGCTATGATAATTTAGGTAGGCAAGATATGCATAATTATCATGATACTTGTTAAAATACCAAGACGAGGGGCTGAAGACATGGCTCAGACAGGAAAGTGCTCGTTGTACAAGCACGAGGCCCTGAGTCCAGATCCCTAACACTCAGCAGAAAAGCCAGGTGTGGTAGCATGTACCTGCAATCCATGCTCCGAGAGGCAGAGAAAAAAAGATTCCCTGGGGCTTACCGAAAGCTAATCTAGCTGACATAGCAATAGAAGAAGACATCAGTGTCAGTCTCTGTCTATCCATGCACAACCACACATGTGTGCATACACACACACACACACACACACACACACTGCCAAGACCTACCAAACCAAAATAGGCTAAGCACTCAGCAGCATCTATAGTCAAATGGTCACAGAAAATACCAAGTTAATTCAAGCAGAATCTTGTCTCGAATAACAAGATCTTAGTATGTAATTCATGATTCCTTAAGCCTGCAAAGACTTATTTCCACATCTTGAGCCATAATCCTACCACAGGATGCTCTCAATACTTTAAACTTATCACTTATTAAATCCCAATGTGTCTAAAGTGTCAAAAGACTGGGAAGCACATGAAGGGTCAGTTGCGATCTTGACAATTTCTTTAGATAGTCTGTGAGTGCAGCTCCCCATTTGCAGCATCCCTTCGTGGTACAAACCCTACATGGGGACTTGGGATTCACTCTTCCTTCTAACAAAGTGCCTTCCATTCTACAAAATTCAAGTCATATCCAACCTCCTCTATAAACTGCATTCAAAGTCTGGAAACAGAAAACTATGAGACTCCCGTTGTTTTATTTTATTTATTTGTTTTAAGTTGGGTTTTTTTTTTTTTAGTGTGCAAAAGTGCTTTGCCTGCAGATGTGTATATGCACTACATGTATGCTTAGCTACTGCAGGAAGCTAAAAGATGGTATCATATTCCCTGGAACTGGAGAGGTGAACCGCCACATGGGTTCTGAAAACTAAAACCAAATCCTCTGAAAGACCATCAAATGCTGTTAGCACTGAGCCAACTCTCCAGCTCCTTATATAAAATATTTTGATGCCATATGGCCTAAGATTAGAAGTGTGGATATGACTTTAGACATCTATACAAACTGTGACAGAATGGGAGGGATATAATCTTTTCCTAAGTACGCTTATTCTAAATCTGAGAGTTTACTACTGAGTACAGCAAAGGTAACAGAGTCTAGATCTTAATCAAAAGAGATGAGGGCAGTTGGATCTTGTGTATTTAACATCTATATCCATTTAAGCAAAACTTCCAAAATTAAGTCCAGGGTCACCTTAAGTCTGCCTATCCTCCCTTCCTTTTGCACAGTCTACAATTATTTTTACATATTAAATAACACTCAACAAATTGGGGGAAGGACTTTGAAAACATAAATCTGGAAAAATCCAAAGTCACAGAACTTAAAATGAACTAAATGGAGCCGGGCGGTGGTGGTGCACGCCTTTAATCCCAGCACTTGGGAGGCAGAGGCAGGCGGATCTCTGAGTTCGAGAGTTCGAGGCTAGCCTGGTCTACAGAGTGAGTTTCAGGATAGCCAGGGCTACACAGAGAAACCCTGTCTCAAAAACCAAAAAAAAAGAACTCAATGGACATAAGCTCAGTGTGTTTATTATGACAATCATTAGAATCTTTAAGCCCTATTAGAAGCATTAACCTAGCTACTCTATAAACATATTAAATATCTAATCTTTGCAAAGGGACAACAGAAGTGCTACAAAGACATTCATATGTCCGCAAAGAATCCCTCCTCTGAATTTTGAAATGTATGAATCTACTAAACAATTGAAAACTCCTTCGGACAGGCCTCCACTGGGACTTCTATAGATTCTTGTTACTAAGAAAAGTAGAAAGAAAGGGGGAAAGAAGTAAGGCCTGATATAATACCTCATATGTACAATTCACTAGTGAAGCGAACTGTAAACCAGCTACAATAACATTCAATAGTGCTCCTACTACTTCAGAAGCTGAGGTAGGAGGATCAACTGGTCCCAAGAGTTTGAGACCAAACTGGGCAGCACAGCAAGATGGGCTCTCCAAATTCAGGTACATAAATAAATAAACAAACAAATAACTGGCTGCAAAAATGAGCCCCAGTTTACAAGTTTCTATAAACAAACTAAGCAAGCTCAGCTCAGTCTGTTCCTTTTTTAAAAATATTTATTTCTAGTTATCATGTATATGAGTGTTTTGCCTACACATATATAAGTGCACTGCATTGTATGTCCAGCGCCTTCAGAGGCCAGAAGAGGGCCCTGGGACTGGAGTCATGAACAGTTGTGAGTAATCATGTGTGTGCTGGGATTCAAACCCAGGTTCTCTGAGAGCAGCCAGTGCAGGAGCCACTGCTGAGCCACCCTCCATCCCCTCAGCCTGGACTAGATAACAGCTCTGTGGTCAGACCTTCTGACCAAAACACTTAAATGTTTTTCATATCTGTTTGCTCACATGCAAAAATAACGATGATAGCCAAGGCTAGCTCATCTGCATACATAGCTCAGAGAGTGTCCTTAGCATCAGGGTTCAATCCTAGCCCAAAAATAAATAGTTGGACTAACACTCCATCGCAGAGCTACTGGGAAGTTTGTTCACTGAAAGCTTAGAATTCTTCCAAGGCCTTACTAGGTCTCCATAAACCATAGCTATCATCATTAGTCATCCCACATGTTAAAATTAGCTTTAGGTTGTTAGTGACTCCACTCGCATCTGTTTTCACCACAGAACAATACGGGACCCTCTAACTCTTCCTCAAAGGACTCCTCATAATATGACGTAATGGCCTTACAGGTCCATTTTCTCCTTAAACTCCAGGAGATGTAGACCTAGTACCAGTCACTTATATTATTCCAGGCTCCAACCCAAGAATTGTTGAATGAACAACAACAAAATGGATATTTTCAAAATAAACCTGCAGGTATCACTGTCTACCTGCAGGTATACAATGGTATAGAAGTTTCCTTTCAAAGGTATAAGCAGGAAGCCTGTGATATAACAAAAACATGGAAACATTCTTCCTGAAGTTCCTGTAGCTCAAAAGTACAGCAAAGACCTCTAATCCCAGTTCAGGAAGCCAAGGCAGAAGGAAGGATAGTTCAAAGCCCACCTGTGCCACATAGTGAAGATAAGGTGCTGTAGCTGTTCTCTCTCTCTCTCTCTCTCTCTCT